ATTAACTTTGATACTAAACCCAAACTTAATTTTGCTTGGAATAATCTGCAGAAATGCATCATAGACGCAGCAATGAAAACCATTCCACACAAAATGACTTCCTCACACCAAAAAGACCTTCGTCCCAAACTTTTAAAAGACACTTACAAACATTTAAAAGTTGTACAGAAACTGTATATTATAATAAAAAAGTTCCTTAAAACAAACCTGTTTGAAAACACATGGACCAAATGTCATAATACAGTATCATCCTTTGCTAGTGCTTATGGTGTTACTTTCGAGATCGATCCCGATCCTACTCTTCTAACTATCAAAACCTCTAAAACTTCAATAAAAGACCTGATCAAAATTATACTTACTAAAGCTAAATTATACGAAGCTGAATATAAATTAAAGTCCATCACTGAGGCAATCAACAAAAGATATGACAACTTCAAAGAAAACCAAAAATCAATATATGATTCACTCTTAAATAGACAAAGAACAATCATTCACTTAGATCGATGCATGGACAACTCTAGTATGGATAGAGATTTGCTCACCGATCCTATTGATGTTAGGAATGAAACCAATAGATACTTTCAAAAAGTTACTGGCTCTGTACATCACCTCACTCTTATTCCTGAAGAATGGAAAAACTCGTATTTACCAATTCCAAATATCGACTCCAATATATATGATAGTCTGATGTCACTACCTTCTGAACAAGAATGGGAAAACACGCTTAGTTTACTTAACATTGGCAAAGCACCAGGACCTTCAAAAATTACAAATGAGATGCTTAAACATTTAGGCCCCCTGTCAAAAAAGATCCTCTGGAAAATTATATGCAGATGTTTAACCCTTCATGACATTCCAGATCGTTGAAATTCTGCATTTGTTTATCCTATACCCAAACCAAAACCTTGGGAATATAATTTGAACAATACAAGACCCATTACCCTTTTGGAAAGCCCTAGAAAAGCATTCATGAAACTCATCAATCATAGACTATTAAGTATCTTATCCGCTCACAACGTCCTCAAAGGTAACAATTTCGCTGGCCTTCCATATCGAAGTACTTTTGAACCAATCCATATTTTAAATAATGTTACACATGATGCTAATTACAACAAAAATGAATTATGAGTCCTCTTTCAGGACATGTCAAAAGCTTATGACTGCGTCAATTTACATATGTTACTAGAAGCTTTCAAGCACATTCACCTCCCACCATCTTTCGCTTCACTAGTTTTATATTGTTTCCTGTCACATTCCAACCAAGTCTTTACGGCCTATAGTAATACAGATAAATATTATGTTTTGTCAGGAATCAACCAAGGTGAAATTATATCACCCATTCTCTGGTGTATTTATTACGATCCCCTTCTTTGCCACATTCAACAATCCTCATATGGATACCGTCAACAAGTCATATGGAATACAGATCCAACTAAAGACTCGCCAGTGGTAATCAATAAACACGTCCCTACACTAGCTTACATGGATGATACTCTTTGGATTGCCAAGTCAAGAATTGACCTAGAACACATAATCAATTCTGCGAACTCATTTTACCAACTAAATAGCATTCAAGTAAATTGGGATAAATCGATCCTCTAAACTTCAATAGCCGATACTGCTAAAATTAAATTTAATCTTACCAATGATGAATTATGGTTGGATCCCAAACAACCAAAAGAATCTTCTAGATACCTCGGTATATGGATCTCTTTGAAACCTAATACCAAATTCATCCTCGACCAAATTAGGACAGAAATCAAGAACAATAATTTAATCCTCTGTAATAAAAAACTTACGGAAAAACAATTTATCGCGGTCTTTAATAATGTCATCACGCTCAGGATAATGTATCAATCCCAAACAACCTTTCTTACAGAATCGTTCTGTAACAAGATAATGTACGCCATACGAAACGCCTTTAAAAGAACGTTACATTTATCCAAATCTACACCCATCCCATAATACACTCAACATTTGGCTACAAGTTAAACCATCTGTACAATCAACAACTCTTGGCTAAACCCAATGCACTTCTTCGTATCGTAAATGATAATGGACTCCTGGGAAAATCTGCCTTCGTTAGAGCAAGACAACTACAAATTTTGGAATGGCTACCTTCGTGCCCTTTCAATATTTGGCCTTATGACTTTTTAACTACTAAATTTGATTGGTATCTGCAACTCTTTCACTCACTCGCAGATTAAATATCAGTTTTTCTAAAACAATCGCATCACAGAGTTCCATCACTGACTTCAATAATTACCCTACTAAACTTATCGACTTTCTTCCTAGAAAATTATATAGGACTATTAAAGTTAATCTCAGAACTAGAGGATTAATGTTTGCCGAACAACTAATATCAAGTTGTGGAAATTACCTCTACACTTTCAACGATTTAAATATATACAAACGAATGGCAACTGGTTTGTTTCCCAAATGGTTTAAAATCATAAAAGATCATTTAATTACAAATTCTGAAGATTGTCGCATCACTGTCCCGATCTTACAGCACTTTCCAACTTTTAATCAGACTAACGCCAATCATATTACGAATCCTCAGTTTTCATTTGTCACTATATGGCACAACACTATACAAAGTTCACTCATCAGAAAGATCGTTAGACATAATGATAACTCCTTCATCCTCTAACACTACGTTTCTGGTGCAACTCAGCATTCTCTAACACCTTTAATGGCTTGTAATAGATATCAGTTACATGATTACAGTATAGACCTTGCTTTTGTTAAACAACAGTCGTACAAATATTGTTACTTCAACGTCCCTAAAGAATTTTGTAGTCATATTTTTGCCAATCATAGAAAACCATTAGGGCTTTATACAAGTCTCTCACCTTTTATGATAAAAGATCTAGCAATTAGCACACTTCCATTTTGTTTCACTAACTCATCATGACAATCCTATTATAATTCTGCTCCCTTTGATTTAAATAGTTTAGCCACTTTACAAACAAAAAAAGATTTATTTATTAAAGCTACTAACTTACAATTTTATACAGATGGTTCACTTACAAACTTAGGCCTCTCGTCATGCTGTATGGGTATTGCGTGGTTACAAACTGACCCGAATTGGCCAATGATCTCCTTTAACGCTTCTTTAATTTCACATTCTCCTTCTTCCACTCTAGCAGAATTAACTGCAGTGTTTGCAGTGATTTTTGTCACTCCTACTAATGCTAGAGTAACAATCTGCACTGACTCCCAGAATGTCATCTCAACTTTCCAGAAATATATTCATACAACTACTCGTACTACCTCGATAAACCCTCTCCTCAAAATTCAACACTTTCCTATTTGGTGTTTGTTAACAAATTGGATTACAAACAATAATCTGAGTATCTCATTCGAAAAAGTAGTAGCTCACAGTGATGACTTAAATAATAATCAAGTGGATGCACTCACTAAAGCGAATGCTGCTCCCTTATCTTTCAACGTCAACGTATTAGGTCTAAGATATAATCTTTTACATAACAATTTAATGATTCTTTCACCACCCAGATATTTCATTAAACAACTAAGGCAAGCTGCCTGGGCTGAAGCTTTTCTTAATCTACCACAATTTAATAAATATGTCAATCTTGATATTGACTGAATTATGACAACTTTTATCTTGAATGATAATAACTCCTCCACAACTACTTCTTTCAAACACAGTACGCTCAAGAAAAACAGATATCGCATACTGCTTGAGATGCTTTCCACTCTTAATATCCTCCACCCCAGACATCCTACCATTTTTACTTCTCCTATATATCCTATTTATTCTATTTCTATTGATACCTTTCTTCACGTATGGTAATGTCCAAACAATAATATTTCATTATCACAATTAGCTATAGAAACGAGACGCTCTCTGCTTCTTAAACTTAGCCATTTAAAAAATACTGACGCTTCGCATGATAATATTGTTTATCAGATCAGTCAACTATCAATATGGTCTCACACTCCAAATACACATGACATAGACTTCATTGACATTTTAAAAGGTTTAGTACCTGGTACCTTGGTATCACTACTCAACAATATCATATCTGACGTCGGCATCACCAAAGCTTTACTCTCCTCACTATATTATGACCTTTTCAACACTATTTGGACTATTTGGACCCAAAGG